ATGTAATTTTTTTATATTATGTAGTTAGAATTGTATGTCTGTGACTTTTGCAAACAGGTTTCATTTTTGGTGATTCATCAGGGTTAAATTGAATTCCTTCTTTTAGTTTTATTATGTCTTATATGTGCTTTTTGCTTTTTAATAAGATTGGTGAAAAATGCAGTAACTATTTTGTGATCAGACTTGTATAAAAGTGGTTTTGAAACACTACAATAAAGAAAATTAACCATAAAACCAGCAAACATAAATATCCTATCAAGTCTTTTGGGAATGAAAGCTTTGATTGTACTTTATGATGAAAAAAGGTAGGTAAGATAATATTATTACTAATTAATTGTAGATCTATAAAGTTTTTTATGTGATAATTCTTCCACAAGATCAAAATACCAATCCAGTTTTTTGTTAAGCTTTAATCATTGATGTTTATATTAAAATTCTTATTAAGATTACATAACATTGTTATTTGTTATATTCATCTAACATATTTAAGATTTATTTTTGAAGGATTCTTCTATTATGTCTACTTTTAGAATCTTTCAGATTAGCATGGATATAACAGCTAATTATTTTAAGTTTTATATATCTTTTTAGAAATAAGTCTATATAGAGCAATCTAGGATCATAAGTGAAGAAAGATGCAATGTATTTGTATTATTTTTTTTGAGATAAAAAGGGCTATCTTCATATAAGATTACATCACTCAGGTTGACTCTAAAATGTAGTGAAATTTTGATCTTGTTTGTGTTTGTAAAGCATTAAAGATTTGTGATATGTTTTTATAAAACTGACAAAGTTTATATTCTTCAATATGAAATAATCAATTATTTGTGAGAATTTAATAGGATATGTAATATCATTAATTTCTTAAATATTGTGTATAGCAAATGTAACTGTATCACTTTTATTTATATTATTGCTCAAATTGTTATCTAGGTAAGCAATATTTATATCTATTTGATTAATTCTAAGTTATCTATTATAATAGAAATAGAAAACTTGATTATTTAGAAAGGAACTAATATCTATATTAAAATTTGAAGTATTCCAATTATCAGTAGAAATACTATTTATCTGTGATTTGTCTGATATGAAGTATATTATAAACAATAAGCTATAGATCTATCATTATTAGTAAAAGCAAGAAATTTAAAATTTAATTTAGCCAAATGAGATTTAATCATATTTAATTTCTGAAGTTTAGCTAAAATTAAGTCAAGTGAATTAGAATTATTATTATGAATTAAAGTATTTATTAAAATAAAAGTTATGAAATCAATATCTTTTTCTTTTCCTTTGTAAAAACTAGAGGAAGACATGAAAAAAGGTGATGAAATAACTGTGTGATTTTGAGTATGATTTTTTAATTCAATATTTCTAACATTAAATGAAAGGTATCTATTATTTCAATGATTGTTAGAAAGATTTTTAGGAATGTTGATATCTGATGACTGAGTTAGTTCATTTTGTGTATATTATCAGTTAAAAACTCTAGGTCTTCTATCTAATTTGTATCTATTATGTATAATTCATTTTGAATAGGCAGAATTTATATCTTTATCAGATGCAAAAGTAACATAAGCAATATTATTATAAAAATAATAAGATTTTGCTTTTAGAGTACAGAAAGCTTCTACAGGTAATGTTTTATTTTTAAAACCTTTAAAACTAACTATGTAACTATTTCTATTTTTTAATTCTTCTACTAGTATATCGATATAAACGCATCTAATAATATGACCATTTATATTATGTGTTTAGAATGTATTTAGCTGATGAGGTTTTCTGATTTTTTTAAAAGAATTGATGACATCACGTGATGAATCATATTTATTTTATATTAGTCAACAATGGATATAATTGAACCAAAATAGGTAAGAGTTCTATTGATGTGATTTTGTATAAATATAAATATGAACAGGTTTGAGTTTGTATATAAGATTGTTGTGATGTTGAATAATAATAGAAGTTTTATTAATTATATTAAAGAAAGTTTAGGATGATTTAACAAGTCATCATTTATTGTATCTAATAATAATTTTCTGTTATTAAATTTTATAAAGATATTAGCATTTCCATTATAAAATTTTCAATCTATATTAATAAATCCTGGCTTTTGAGAAAAAAAGAAGGAAATGAAATTTAATTTATCTATTCAAATTTCTCCTGGCATAGCAAAGACTAAAAGTAATGCAAAATGCTTTCTCTATTATTAGATTAGATTACGTGAGAAGAATTTTTTAACATATAACAGAAATCATTTTTGTGTAACTTGTGACTTTATTATTGTTATTGATTAGGTTGTTTAGTGACGTATCAATATTATTATTGTTATTATCAAGATCTACAGATGCGTTGGTGTTATTTTTAGATTATTGTATAACTGACGCATAAGTTAGTTTATTATTCAGTTTGTTTTAGTCTTTTAGTGATATTTTAGTTGGATATTTAAGTGAAAGGTGTTGTGTATTAGAAGACAATAATAAAGAAGGAAGGTTGTTATGTCTTATAAATATTTGTATCTGTTAACATATCATCATTATTTAGAGTATCCATTTGTGAATTTAGTTCTTCTTCATTTGTAATCAAAATAATATCATTAATTTCCTTAGAGAGAAGAGCTATTTCGATTATATTTGAGATAATATCTTTTGTATTATTTGCTCTATGATCGCTCGCTTCAGTTTCGTGAATGTTATAAGTACAGAACCTTGCAAGGTTATCTATAAAATTATTGTTAAGGAAAATTTCTTGTGTAATACATTCTGCTGAGAAGACTTTTATATATTTTTCATTTAGTTTTCTAATAAGCCAAAAAACTTCTGGTGTTTTGTATAAGAGAAACTCTGCAATAGCAAAATCTCTTTTTTCAAATTCTGGTGTAATATAAGCTTTAAATTTCTAAAAATCTAAGACTTCTTGAGTAAAAAGGTATTTAAAAATATCAAGAGTCATATTGTATAAATAAAGTTTTTAATAAAAATAAGTTTTTTTTGAAAAATAAATTTTTGTTTTTTCTAAAAATTTGGGTATTGTAGAGAACAAGAAAGAGTTTTAATATATTTAACTTTGTTAATAGCATTATCATCATTTTTTTTTGACTTTTAACAATGTGGTATTACTATAAGTTTTATATAATAAATTTATCATTTTAAATGCATTAACTTCATAACACTTAATAAAAAACAAAAAGAATACAAATAAGAAATCTAAACTAAAACTGCAGCTACTCACTGTGACTCTATTTCAAGCTTGTTTAAGTTGATCAATCACTAGTGATCTCCTTAAGATGCCTATTAAAACTATTTCTAATGAGCAACTCGTCAACAAAAAAAGTTAGCAAAATTGTCAATATTACAATGCTTTTCCTTTAATTAACCACTAATTTCTTAATCAACAAAAAATTTAAACACTTTCTAGAATAAACGAACCTGAGATTAGTTTCTGAAAAAAAAAAGGTTGATTATAGTGACCTCTCATAATAGAAGCGCCTATAATCACTAAATTCCGTCAGAGGCTCTTTGATATTCTCAAATTTTCAAATATCAAAACACTTAATTGTGAGATGTCAGAAAAATTCTGCTAGGATCAGTAGACTTTTATAATATCAGAGATCTTCAAAAGAATGTTATTATTTATGAAGTAATTGGATAGTCATCACATAAGATTTATTTACATCTAAAGTTATATCAATTCTGATTGTCATTTTGGATATCCTTAATGCCTACTTTTTGTAGGCAAAAAAAGAAAATGAAAAACAAATGAAAAAAATATTTGAGAGAAGTGGTAAAAAAATATTTTAATAAAAACATCACCGTTTAGACTAATAACGAAATATTTTTTGGTTGAGGATATGGAAAATAAAGAGAAAAAAATTTTTGAAAAAAAGAGTTTTTGTTTTTGTTCGCAGGCTAAGTCGGGACTGTTCTTAAACAAACATGTTTTTACATAAAAATTCTTAGACAAAATTCAACGAGAAAGAGTTCAACCACTTACAGCGTTATCATCATTTTTGTTATACGATCATTTTCATTGTTTTCGTAATTTAAGCCGGTTGATTGCTAATTTGTGTTAAGGAATTATGGCTCAGTATGGTAATGATTTATGGAATTATACTTCAAAATATCTTGCTAACTATTGGTCCAGTCAGGTTAAGCTTATATTCGTTGAAAAGCTCTTGTCAAAACGGTTCTAATGATGCTATTTTCATCGAAATATTGATTATTAGGTCAAGAGTTATTTCATTTAACAATAGATACATTCAAGTTATATCCTATGTTTTTGGGTTAACTACTATTAATATATACTAGGGAACAGGGACAGTCCGGAACGATCTTAACTAAAATAAATATTGCAAAAGCCAATCAGCATCGACTCAATTTTTGAGCGGAACACTTTGCTAATTAAAAAATTTTTTATTCTTGACTTTCGGAATTTTTGAAATATTTTAGTATGTAACTCTAAACTTTAATCTTAACCAATCAAATCAACAAATTATTCACGTGATTGTTTCAATTTCGAAGAAACATATAGCTTTCAAATGTTTATAGCTTTTTATACAAGGAGTTTTTTAAAAAAACTAAGCCGATAACTTTATAGAGTATAAGTTGGATTATAAAGTTATCGGTTCAGTTTTTTGAAAATCCTTTTATTTAATGTGTAGATAGATTTTAAAAATGCTCGAATTTTCGATCACGTGATTGTCGGATATAACCTACCAGCACCATATTTATACAAGCCAATTTGAACGGCAATTGGATATAAAAATTAACGAATCTTCCTGAAAAAATACTTGTAATTATTTAATAAAATAATTAGTTTATTATTAAAAAATTAATATATGTAAATAATTTCTATAAACTTATTATTTTTTTGCTTTTTCCAATTTAAATAATTTACAGAATAAGTAAATGAGTGTTCATTTGATAATGATACGATTCTTATTTTGTGTATTCATATTAAGAACCTTTGTCCCATTAATATTATTAGATTCCCGAATAACATTAATTCATTTTACTAGTTTCTACCATTTTTTGCATAACCTGAATTAATTCTTCAGGCGAGGAAACATGCCACCCAGCTAGAGTTTTCTTATTAGCCGCACCAATTGTTGTGCAGAAATAGTTATCGATTGGCAGCTCTGATTTTCTCAATGATCTAAACATATCTTCGTCAGTTCTATCATCTCCAGCGCAGAATACAAAATCTACATCTGGGTGAGACGCCAATAAACGCTTTACAATTTCTCCCTTTTTGAATATAAAAGAAGGTTGATTTTCTGTCTTCATTTCATATAATAATACAAATAGTAAAACAGAATACTTTTAACTCACTTTATTAATTGTTGTTGGTCTGACCTCCAAATTTTTCTTTCCTAATAGAATTTCGACCGGTAATTTCGGAAGAATTGCATTTTCAAGATGATTTTGACACTCTTTGGCTTGAAATGCACTATTTATATTTTTTTAAAAAAAAATTTAAAAGTAAATGACTGGCATTACGAGTTTTATATTAATATAAATAAATTATTGTATAATACTTTACCCATACTCTGGGTCTGCCTGACGATAATGCCATGTAATAGAAGAACGTTTACGTTCTATGAAAGATCCTTGTGTACGTTCAGTGTAATATGTAAAGATCTCTAACACATCATTTTTCCAGCTCATATCTATATCTTCTGTCAGATTAATCCATTTATCACCATCTGGGTTTTTAAGGAAACTCCCGTGCTCTGCACTAAATTAAGATAATAATTTTAGCTTTTATTTAAATTTTAAGTTTACATTTAAGATATAGTATTTTACCTAAAACCAAGTTTTTTAACGGAGCCGAGCCAATTTTCTAATGTAGTTGAATCACGCCCGGAAACAACCCAAGTAGTGTTATTAGGATCATTAGTAAGTTCATCTAATGCCTCAAGCATACGAGGTGGAGGAACTGCCGCGCTTGGAGTTCTCACGATCGGTGTTAATGTTCCCTAAATAAAATAGTTATTTGAAAAAGTTCATTTCTTCATTAAATAAATGAATAATTGAAATCAACTCACATCATAATCGAATAGCAATAATCGCTTTTTGGAAGATTTGTATTTTTTCTGCAAGTAGTCCATATCGAGATATGGGGTAATACTTGATTGATTATGGTTATTCATACTAGCAACTAATTCTTTGGTAAAAGACTTTGCCCAGAATTGGGCTGTATGAACGGTAACATGTTTGTATAGTTGCTATGAAGAAAACAAAGTCCATAAGTATACTTTTTATTTCAAAAAAATAAGGTAAGAAAGGACAAACTCTATACCATATGCTTTGCCTTTTTCTCTTCCGCGGGCAAACTTAAGGCATCATTGATTGTCTTTGCAACTCCATCATAATCCCAAGGATTTACCATTATAGCAGCTCCCAAAGACCCAGCCATTCCTGTAAATTCACTCAAGATAAGTGGACCATGGTTTTCCTGCTGACACATGATATATTCAAGTGATGTAGTGTTCATTCCATCGCGTACAGAAGTAATGAGACCTAGATCTGCAACACTTAAGAGCGCATAATATTCATCCTGATCCATATGATTATGATAATGATGAACAGGAGTGAACTCGAGAGAACCGTATGTACCATTTATCTTAGCGATGACCTCTGATACTTTTTTTTCTAATTTTGGTGATTCACTGAGAGCTGGGGAAGTGACTTGTATCAAAACAACCTTTTAAAATTCATGAATATTTTAGAAGTGCTTTTTTAGGAATAATTTTATTTCGTTAAAATTCTAAAAGATATACCTTTCCCTGCCATTTAGGATAATCTTCCAAGAACTTTTCGAAAGCGTGTAATTTTTGAAGGACGCCTTTGACCAAATCTAGCTTATCTCTTCCAACGATAATCTTTTTGTCCGCATACATTTCCCTAATCGCTGCCATCTTTGGTGCAACATCAGGATGCTTCCTATTAAAGTTATTACAAAGTAATTCGTTAACTATGCTTATTGATTAAAGAGCATAACTAATAACAGTTCATACCTTTGGGCTTCGACTCTCTCAGAGTCGATCCCAATAGGGAAAGTACCAATGGATACTATCGATCCCTTAGCATCAACACCACTCGGTGTTGATTCATAACCCAAAACACGCGTGCAATTACTAATGAAGTGCCTTGAATATGAGTATGTCTTAATATAAATATAAAATAAATTGTAAAAAGTGAATTTATATAAAAATTAATCTTAATCATTAAATATAAATGTGATATCAAGGTACCTGAAATCCGATTTGATTTGCTCCCAACATTCCATTCAAAATTTCTTTCCTCTCTATTTCATCGAATCAATTAATAATGATCAAATCGAATCGATGCATTAAACTGGGGATATGAATAAATAGTTGCAAAAACTCACTAGGCAAACACCGGAAAATTTCCGAAGAAGGGAATGGGGCATGAATAAATAAACCAATTGCAGCATCGGGGAGTATTTCTCGTAACATTTCAGGAACCAACAAAAGGTGATAATCGTGGATCCATACTATATTTTATTAAATTTAGTTAATTGAAACTTTGATGGACTTTATAAAAAATTTCAACTAACCTAGATCTCCCGGCTTATAAATCTCCACAATTTTATCTGTGAATCTTTTATTAACTTTAACGTATTGATCCCAACTCGTTTTTTCTACGCGACCATCGGTAGCGGTATCCCATAAAATGTAATGGAACAATGGCCATAATACTATGATGAAATAACAAATTGTAACGAGATGTTATTAAAAAAGAAAAGAAAATATAAGTCACGCGAATTATAAAAAGATCACGTAAAAAACGTGCTAATAAGGCCAATCAAATATGCAAATAGAAGGGTGTTCCTTTTCGTGCACAATTTCTTATTTGCTGCATACCATATTTACAATACCCATCATAGTGACCATGATGTTCGGCGTTTTCAAGGAATACCGGATAAATATTTTCTTTTTTTAAACGTGTTTGTATTGTATGTTTAAATTCTTCTGAAAAATCGCTAAACTCAATTGCTTTTTCTTCAGAGTCGAGTATCGTTCCAATGTAACCCACATAATGATTATTCCAAGTAGAACTTAAAGAATTTAAACCAGAGTAAAGAGCAGAGTGACCTCGACGCGGCTTCAAGACCCAATGATGTGAATTGGAAGGATTTTGCGAGATTTGTGCGGAGTTTTCGAGCACTGGTGTGTATGGTATCATGTGAGTAACGTTGATTATACGTTTGTGTTTAGCCGATCCATTGGGAGCATTTTTACTCGAAATTGTATCCGCTGAAGAGACCATGATTAGAATGACGTTTTTTTAAAAATAAATTTACGAGGTTGCATTGTGATGAAATATATATAAATTTTTTTAAATCTTTTGATAAGCAGCAGCTATTACCATTCAAGTTAGCGTGGTACGAAACATTGCATCATTAGATTAATCGATAAAGATAAAGAGATAAAGATAAATAATTCACAAATGATTATTGAGATAAGATTTCCTTTACTCTTTCTTATCAAATTATTTCCAAAAAAGAAAAAAAGAAAAAGAGATTTTAATGATAATGATATTTCGTAATAATGATGAAAGCATTCTTTTTACTTGAATAAGAAAAAAAAATTAAAAATCAAAATTTCGGGGTTTTTCTATTTAAGGTAAAGTGTAATTAAATTTTCCTTATGCACAAATTTTAATTAGGCAATTAGGCAAATTTCATCGCATAAAATTTTGAAAATGAAATCCAACAACACAACACAAAGGCGCAATGATAACAAATGATATTTTTTTACAAAAGTAAACAAAATCCTCCAATTTATAGCATAATCATATTATTTTAGAAACCAATCTCATCAAAATTCCAAATATGGCACTTGCAATTAAAAATTGTGGTAGCGAAGATGGTGACTGTTTCGAATTGACATTAAAAAGGTGAAAATTTTTAGAATCTGATCTCTCGAGTACACACGGAAATTCCTTTAATTAAAAATAATTAGTACATTATTAATCTAAAAATCAAAAAAATAAACTTTGAATTAAAGCGTACACAATTAATTACCTTGTTGAGACTTGATTTGCTTAATATGTTGGTGTTATTATCAACATCCAAATCTGATATGTTATATTGTTGTCCCGTAAGTTCTACATTCTGAACGCTTCCAAAAAAATCTGTTACGAGAACCTAAGACATAATTGATCAGGTTAGCAAAAAGAAAGTAAAAACAATAATGAACACTAATCATATTAAACCTTGTCTAACGGTCTGCGAAACAGATCACTCCGAACTCCGGGAGTCGAATGTATTAAAGTTGGATTATATGATTTAAACAAATCTTGCAAAGTCGCCTTGCTTTGCATATCTACTTTTTCCAAGAATTCTAAATTATAATAAGTAAATCGATCAATTACTGCAACACCAATGTCTGTGTCCATATGATGCTATAAAGATTAAAATTTTTAATTAAAGAATTTCTTAAATTAAATTTTTTTTCGATAAAGAGACATACCGAATAAGAATTTTCTCCAAGATTACTACTACCGGTAGCTAATATATTAGGAGAATATATCTGACTATACATTGTATTCGCCTGACATGTATCGATCATAAATAAAACTTCATGATACCTAGATTAAAGAATCGGTTTTTAGAAAAGAAATATAGTAAATAAAAAAAAAATAAAACTTAAATTTTCTTTTTACCTTCTCTTTTCCCACATTTGTTCGAATGCATCTGCCAGATCAAAACTACTAATTTCTTCGGCATCTTGAAATTTCAAGAATTCATTGCCGCCATGACCGGTCATATATACTAAAATATTTGACCGATCATCAGATAGTAAACGTTTAGATCGAGGTGTATCTGGAGCGACACGGCCTAAAAAAATTCATTTTATTAAAGTTTTTAAAAAATAATTAATTATTATTGTTTTTATCAAAGTGTTAAAAGTCTTACCCGTTAAGACACGAATAAAATTTTCCACAGTCACCTCATAGCCCCTATAATCCACTTCTACGTTATCTCCATACAAATCCAAATACCTTCCGGCGTTATTGAATACTGTAGCGGGAAATGCGTTTCGCGGATTACATGCTACATCATCGGCAAGCATTAAAATAATATTAGAGTCCGGAATACCTAACCGCTTTACCGTACGATATATTGATAATGTATTCGCAATATGACGATAATTAAACCAAAATCGGGAAGTGCACACCTGTTAAGAAGAAAAAAAGATTTTTCACTATATCTTGGTAAATCTCGGAATCAAATTTCAGTAAATAAAATTAAAATAAGCGTAAACTGTAATACCTACCAAAACTGCCCAATTATTAGTATGTCCTCCTCGACTAAAAAAGCTGTCTACAATAGCTTCAGTGTCATTTTGAGCCATAGAAAGTTGAGAAATGATCATACATATTATTATCGTTATTGTAAAAAATTGTGTAAAAGAAATTCTTTCGAAAGCCATCGAAAAAAAATACATGTATATAAATAAATAACAAAATTTTGGGTTTCAACTTATTCTTGTGCACTTTTTATACTTTTTTAAAATTAGCAACTTTAATTATTAATTGTACAACATATAACAAGCCACAAAATAAACAAATATATAAAAATACAAATTTAACCAATTTTCGTTACCGAAAACAATAAATTTTCACTCATGAGTAGTCTATTAGGTCTTAATTATTACGATGACGACGAAGACGAAGAACAAACTGGTAATACAACAAAACCTACTAAAGCTAGTTCAGGTAAAGAGACTTTTAAAAGCAATAGTATCACGAATTGCTGCAAAAAGCAGTTTATTGATCTCGTTTCAAAATAGTTCCAGGGTTATCTAGTCTGATTGGTTATCAGGAAGGAGACGAGGAAGGAGTAGCGGGCGAAGCTAATAATGGGCTTAAAAACGTAGTATGGTTTCTTGAAAGGTTTTCTTTTTAATTTGTTTGGACAAAGTTTGTTAGTTGACAAAAAAACTACAATTTGGATTCCTAACAGAGTGCATATAATTCTCAAGCCATAGTACATAATGATACAGGTAATTGAAAGGACATACCGTTTAGATCCTGAAATGATTTTAATCGGGTGTGTTTTTGTTTTTACCGGCAAATACTTGTACATTCAACTATAATAGAATTAGCCTCCGAATAATGCCAGATATTTCGAATTTTCAGACTAAATTTACTTTTATCAATTTTAGGCGGTAAACGATTAAAAGATGCATCAAATAAGCCGCCTTCGCCTACGATACTGCTTTCTCAAAGAACACTGGCTCCATCTCCTTCAGTTTTCTCCAATTTAGTCCGTCGGAAAAATAATAACACAACGCCGCATAAACAACGTGATAGTTTATCTACATCACCGAAAGCAACTATTTCATCACCAGTTATTAATATACCATCACCACACCAAGAGGTTTCGGAATCTGATGAACGGTTAAAACATGATACCGAAGATAATATTACTGCAACTCCAATGGAGGTTGATACACCGTTTGATGAATCGGAGTATGTTAACAGGAAGATCCTCATGCATCAATTGTTAACCCCTCAACAAATTGAAGGTAAAGACAATTGGGGAATTCCGCAAGAACCTGAAGTAGAATGTTGTCAAAATCTTCAGGTATGATAATTAATGAATAAATATCCCTCTCTACAAAGAATTATTTTATGGTGAATTTATATTAAGATTCTTTAATAGGAAAAGATTATACATTTCTACCAATTAAGAGAGAAAGGCGTACATTTTAATGAAAATCTTTTGAAAAATAAAGCATTTCGTAATCCACACATATATAATAAGTTGGTAGAATTTGTGGAGTTGGATGAAATCGGGTCGAATTTTGATCGAGAAGTTTATGATCCTTATGGATTTCCACCGGCAGCCTTTGCGGATCAACTCGGTAAATTCATGCACATTATATTGTCTTCATTTTTATTTTTTGATATAGACCAGAATATGATATTATGTATTTTTGTATCAAAGCGGAAGTTCAAAGGAAAGTCGTGGAGGAACGTGCATTAGCGCAACAACAACAACAACAACAACAACAACGGAGTCAAATACAATTTGTTGGATCATCATCAAGTACTCAAAGTATTTCAAAGGCTCGTCATGTTATGCAAAGTTTGGCTGCTAGAGCTGAAAGAGGTTCTAGTAACATTCACGCCTCAATAAAACCAACATCAAGCACAATCACAAGCACAACCACCACATCATCATCATCCACAAGAATATCAACTAGTTCATCTGGTACGTAGATAAGAGTTTATTTTAATAAAATGGTTACTTTTTTTTTTTGTTAATTTCGATTTCGCATGTATATTAATAGGTCGAAAGCGTGTCAGTAAATGGGATGTTCCTGCTCCAGATGTATTAGCGTCGTCTTCTAAGACACACTCATCATCCTCAAGTTCTAAACATAGCAGACGAAGTAGTCGAGATCGCGATCGAGAACGTGATAGAGATCGCGATCGAGAGCGAGATAGAGAACGTGATAGAGAGCGTGATAGAGAGCGTGATAGAGATCGCGATCGTGCTCGCGATCGTGATTTAAAAAGGTCGAAGGTTTAAGTTTTGTAATGTATTAGTAATAATTTTTTTCCAACAAAATAATCACTTAGATATTTACATAGGTAATTTACCTGCGTATTTTCCCGGAAAAAGTAAATCCTTAATAAAACTTATTTAATATCACTCGGATGGTTCTAAATTAAAAAATTATATATCATCCCAAAGTTGTTAAATTAGTTTTGCATCATTGTAAAGGTCATAATAAGTTAACAGAATTTCTATTCCCCCCTTTTTTTTTTTGTTATTTATTAAATGAGACAACTTGTTCGTAATAAATTCAAAATCATATTTCTAACTCCTTTGGTAAGATTATTAATTACATGAACCGAAGTATAAAATTTGTTTTCAGATCAGATTCGCATAAAATTTTTAAAAATAAGTTTACTAAACGAGAGTTAGTGGTTAAACCATATTTGCTTCGTTTTTAAAATTATGTGACATTTGACATTTTTATTCCATGTTCATGCTTTAAAAATAAATTATTTTAGAATTCGAATAATTTTAATAATTTTATTAATCACATATATGATTATTAAAATTTATTTCAGAGCTAACTTTTATATTATATACATTATTTAATTTGTATATAATTCCCTTGTTAAAGAAAAGTTATAATTCTATTCTATTTACTAATTCTTTTTTTTTGATGATAAATGCCAACTTAAATGAATTGTTGTAATACAAAAAGAATTCACGCAAAAAAATGTCCGAATAAAAATATAATAAAATAAATGATATCACGAGCTAAGAAAGTGGTCATGTAAATAAATTGGAAAAAAATAAAAAATATCTTATTGGTGAATAAGATGTGCGCTAACGTTATAACGTTTAACACGCTCAATAGAAACCCTTTGTGATTGTTTTTTTTTTTTGGTTAATCTCATATTCTTTGGCTTAGCTTTTAATTTAAATAAAATGAATAAATAAATAAACTTGGCTGCGGTTTATCATATATTCGGAAAATAAAGATTTTAAAAATTATAAAGAATTGAAATAACATCGGGAAATCTCGCAGGTTATAGAAAACATTCATGTAAAGGTTTCCAAAAAATATCGTCTGAAGGAGTATTAGTTCCGATCATCTTATGCAAAGGAGATTAATTAAAATATAAATATGGACACTGATCGATGGTGGGTGTTGGTGAAATTTTGATTCTTGCGAGGAAAAAATTTCGGATGAATATGTCGTAATCCTTTCTTGCAAGTTTTTTTTATAAAAATGAAATATATTTTTTTTTATTATTTTTGCGAGTTTCTTTTTTTATAAAAAACTTCTTTAGTTATATTAATAATAATAATAATAAATAAAAAGACGCCCAACTTCACTTTGAAATGGAATTCTCGAAATAATTTGACAAATTTGCAGAATATATATTTTATATTATTTATTTATTTTTTTATTTTTTTTTTATTTTTTATTTATTTTTTATTTATTTTTTTTAGAAAGGAAAATCATATCGACAGATGAAATAGTTTATAAATACAAATTAAATATTTTACGCGAAAAAAAATTACATATGTGAAAGAACATATAATTTATTGTTTAGAGTTCCAGAACCAAACCTTTGATAACCACTACCAGCATAAACGACACCATCAACGATGCTTGGACCACAGGCGACCGTACCACCCGTAACGAAATCAAATAAAATGTCACCAGTATTGGCGTT